TTTTAATAATTTTATTTATTTATTTTTTTCCCCCAAAGCCCCAGTAGATAGTTGTATGTCATAGCTGCACATCCTTCTAGTTGCTGTATGTGGGACACAGCCTCAGCATGGCCGGAGAAGCGATGTGTCGGTGCGCGCCCGGGATCCAAACCCGGGCCGCCAGCAGCGGAGCGCACGCACTTAACCGCTAAGCCACGGGGCCGGCCCTCTGGTCTTAATCTTATTCAGGATGCTGGAAAATTTTTATGTCTGCTGATGGCCTGAGGTATTTCTGACTCTGGAATTTATCATTGAGTATAGTCAGCCGAGTCTGAAAGATTTAGTTTTAGAGAACACAATTCTTATCTTAGGTTTCTTGACTTGACCCTTATCGTCCTTCTCCTTAACTGTCCTCATCAGCACAAAGGCATTTGCCACCATGGCTGGTGGAAGAATTGGGAATAAAAACATAGATCCCTGGAGGAAGTAGAGACTGTTAGAAATATGCCAAGGGACTTTGTCACAGACTTGGTTTCTCACTAAGGGATCATGTGGGAGATGACATTTAGAAGGAGAGAAGCGATTTTGCCCGGGCATATTTCGGGCAAGGACAATGAAACCTTTGTGTTTAGTTCTTTAGCAGAGGAATACAGCTGAGAGTTTTATATGGCTGATGGTACAGGCACTGGAGAAAGGTAATGCCACGCTTTTGCTGAGAGGAAATGAAAAAAGCAAGGGACTTTTTTCCATGGGCTCTGGAAAAGGCTGAGATGTAAACAGATAAATTAAATGGAAGCTCTTAGGAAACTATGAAGCACCATGGAAGTGAAAATATTTTCCAGGGTAAAAGGAGTTACTTTCACAATAGCAAAAGTCCACTAGCCAAGTCTAGTAAAGGCCATCATTTTCTTATATTTTTTACTTAACCTCTTTGGGGATGAAAGAAAATTGTACTGAATTTTTTTTTTCCTTTCTCTTCCTGAAATTCTCAATATGATGTTGAACTTTGAAGGACAAGTGGTTGATTTCTCTCTAGAGTGCTTTATTTAAGATCTTATGGTTCATGTAAGTATTTACTAATAATTGTATATTTTAAAAATAAAGTTTCAAGAATTAGATAACTTAAAGTTGAACCAATAATAGAGCTGCCACTTTGAGGTAACAGCTTTATAGATTTCTATGGTGATAAAGCTATTGATGTTTAGTTTCTTTCTCTTCTTTTCCCTAGAGGTTTTGCTACTTGATGATGAGTGCTTCAACTTACACCTTTATGATGATGTGGGAGTACAGCCACTATCTCTTGTTTCTTCAAGCAATATCTCTGTTCTTACTAGATAGTTTTTCACTGGAGCAAAGTGACAAGGTATTATGACATTTTGAAATTGTGATTTTTAAAGCTGGAGAATAAATGTTTTTATGGTGTTACATCTTAAAACCATTTAGCATTTAAGCTTTATTTTGGAATGTTTTAATAGGCTCTGATTTATACCTCTACCCAAAAGATTGCTAAACTCATTCTCCTCTAGCCCTTTTAGAAGCACTTTGAAATTCCCTTAAACATGGTCTGCTTACCCAAGGTCACCCTGTGCTTCTCCTCCAATTCTAGCCATTTCTCCTTCTTCACTTTCTGTTTCTTTAAAAAAAAAAAAAAGTGACTGGCCCGGTGGCGCAAGCAGTTAAGTGCGTGTGCTCTGCTGCGGCGGACTGGGGTTCACCGGTTTGGATCCCAGGCGCTCACCGACGCACTGCTTGGCAAGCCATGCTGTGGCGGCATCCCATATAAAGTGGAGGAAGATAGGCACGGCTGTTAGCCCAGGGCCATTGGCAGATGTTAACACAGGGCTGATCTCCTCACAAAAAAAATAATAATAAAATAAAAAAAAAATAGTGAAGTATAGGACATGTACAAAAGAGTATATATATGCTGTATAGACAGTGTGTTGAATAAAACATGAGTATTTGACCCCCCAGGCCAAGAAATGGAGTCTTTGAATACCCCAGAAGCCCCTCTCTAACTCTTCCCCAGTCACATCCTGCTTTCTCCCCCACAGAGGCTAACCATCCTGAATCTTGTTAATCCTTTCCTTCCTTTTCTTTGTAGTTTTTACCACCTATCTATGTATTCCTACAAAATATGTTGTAAATAATGTATTGTTAAATTTTGCCTGATTTGCTTTTGAGATTCGTCCATGGTGACGTACAGAGCTATATTTCATTGTTTTATTTATTTATGCATTCTGTTGTTGATGGACATTTCAGTTTTTTCTAGTTTGTTGTTGATATGCTGCTATAAGTATTCTTATACATGTCACCTGGCATGGAAGTGCGAGATTTCTGCAGAGCACACACCTCACAGTGGAGTCAGCATCAAAGGATATGTGCGTGTTCAGCTTAGCTAGACACCAAGCCTTTCTCCAGAATGGTTATATCAACTTATATTCCTGCCAGCTGTGGTTCAAGGTTGCCATCAACATTTGGTTCTTTCTGTTTCTTTATCTTTTTCTTTTTTTTCCTTTCTTGTCTTTCTTTTCTTTGTTTATAAACATTATTATTTATGTTGTCTAAGCCAGAAATTTGGGAATCTTCTTGCTCTTCTCTTTCTTTTCTTTATCCCATGTACTCAGATGGTCCAGAATCCTGATGAGCACCAACATTTAGGTTATTCGAATAGAGAGAATTTAATACAAAGAATCATTAACGAAGTATAAAGTTGTTCACTTGTTAATTGAAAGGATAATAAGAACCTGAAAGTATCATAGAGATAGCAACTGTGGGAAGCACCCATCCCTAGAGCTGCAGGAACAAAGGAAGAATTTGGAATTATTACAACTTAGAAACTTAGAGGAGGGCCCCCATGGAGCTGAAACTCAGGCATCTGAGGAGGGACTACTGCTCGGCTTTGCTGGTGTCTCTGAACTAGAAAGAAGGGCCCTGTGAAAATGGGACCCAGACCTCTGAGAATGGGATTCTGGCCAGCTGGTCTTGGGGTCTCTGGGGCAAGAGGATGTGATCAAGCTGGTTCTTCAAGTGTTGGAAAAACTTCAGCTCCATTCAGCTGCTTCAGCAGGAAGGAATTGCTCTGTTGGAGTGAAGTAGCATCACTGAGGTGTTGCTCACAGGATCTGCAAGCAGACAGGAAGCAGTGGGCTCTCCTTTCTCCTCCAACCTTGTGATCTCTCTCTAGCATTTTGTACTGGCAGAGCTTAAGAGAGAGCCAGCTGGAAAAGCAGAAATGTAGATTGTGAGTTCCCAGCGCCAGCATTATGAGGCAGGGACAGAGAGATCAGTTTGGAGATAAAAGGCAGTTACTCAATAACTGTAGAACCAGAATCCAAAATAAAGAAATAGAACATTATCAGCACCCAGAAGATCACCTGTGCCCTCTCCCAGTCATTGCTTCAGCCCCTCCAACAGTAAGGAATCTTTTTTTTTTTCTTGTGAGGAAGATTGGCCCTGAGCTAACATCTGCCAATCCTCCCCTTTTTTTGCTGAGGAAGACTGGCCCTGGGCTACCATCTGTGCCCATCTTCCTCCACTTTATATGGGACGCTGCCACAGCATGGCTTGACAAGCTGCGCGTCAGTGCGCACCCAGGATCGGAACCGGCGAACTCCGGGCCACCGCAGCAGAGTGCGCGCACTTAACCGCTTGCGCCACCAGGCTAGCCCCGTAAGGAATCTTTTTTAAATGGCTCTGTCCTGTTAGGAATTTTTTTTCTTCTGTTTTTTGTTTTTTATTTTTTTACTTTTTTTTTTGGTGAGGAAGATCAGCCCTGAGCTAACATCCATGCCAATCTTCCTCTTTTTGCTGAGGAAGACTGGCCCTGCGCTAACATCTGTGCCCATCTTCCTCCACTTTATATGGGACGCCGCCACAGCTTGGCTTGACAAGCGGTGCATCAGTGCGTGCCCAGGATCCGAACTGGGGCTGCCAGCAGCGGAGCGCGCGCATTTAACCGCTACACCACAGGGCCGGCCCCTTTTTTTTTACTTTTAAGACTCTGCCTTTGATTTTTCCCCCCTAACTAATGCCTATATTTGTCTTAGTTTTCCCTTTCTAAAAGAAATTAATTTTGTGGTAGATTAAATTATTATACTGTTGATTTTATTTTTTTTTTTTTAAAGATTTTATTTATATTTATTTTTCCCCCAAAGCCCCGGTAGATAGTTGTATGTCGTAGTTGCACATCCATTCTAGTTGCTGTATGTGGGACATGGCCTTAGCATGGCCGGAGAAGCGGTGCGTCGGTGCTCGCCCGGGATCCGAACCCGGGCCGCCAGCAGCGGAGCGCGCGCACTTAACCGCTAAGCCACGGGGCCGGCCCCTATACTGTTGATTTTAGAAGAGAAATCTACTAAGACAGATAACTTTTCTGGGAGATCTTCTATTAGGACATTGAATTTAAGTTTTTTATCCTTACTGTTAAATGGACCAAATGCAAAAATACTTTTCTCTGGTCTACATTTCATGGTAGTACATTTTCTCTGGATAGGTTTTGGGAATTGCTGCTAAAGATTGTGATTTTTGATCTATGCAGTCGATGTTCATAGATGGATTTTAATAAGAAGGTAAGCCAAGGGAAATTAAGTCAGAGCCTGGGACTAAAGAAGGTTCTTTCAGTCTGATATAGAAGTCCATGGTTTTAAAGCTTTTAGCTTTGTTTGTGAGAGTTCTTTTTAAGAAGAAAGTGATAGATTCGTTACATACCATAACATTAAAAATGCAAATCAAACATTTGCACAATACTTTCCTAAATTATAGTAGCATATTTACTTTATAATTGTAGTCAAATCTATTCCAAAACTAATGAAAATATGTACAATAAAGTTCATTTTATTCTCATTCATTTTATTTTTGTCCCAACAGGTTCATGAAGTTTATAGAATCTATATATTTTCTCTCTTTCTGGGATATTTACTGCAGTTTGAGAATTCAGCGTTGTTGGTGTCTCCTTTATTAAGTTTAGTGGTAGCCTTAATGCTTGCTAAGTGCCTTCAGGTAATTAGAATTGCCTTTTTATCATTCTTGTGATGGATTTTTAAATTGTTAATCTTTTATACTTCACTTCTTTGTTCATATGATTTTTTTCCCCCACAGCTGAATGTGAAGAAAGGAACTTTTGTAGCTAAAATAATGAAAGTGATTAATTTTTACTTGGTGTGTACTCTGACAGTGACATTGAATATTATAATGAAGGTAAGTAACTCTGTCTGAGATTCATGTAGTAGAGAAAATTGAATAATGAAATTATACTGGACTAAATTTTAATGAGAGTAATGAGATAGCAAGGTAATAGAGTTTGTACAGTAAAGTTTTGAGTTGAACAATGGTCATTACTTAGTATATTAGTGAGAAAATAGGATTCTGATTATTTTCTCGATATACTTTAAAAAAAAGAAATACACTTTTTTTCCCATTTAATTGCAAATGTCACTACCCAATTAACATTAAATGATATAGGAATAGATTAAAATGAGTAAAAGGTGTTCAGAAGAGTAGCTAAGTTCTTTAAGCCAGGTGGGAAAAGCTTGAAATCTTCTTACTACCTCATAATTTTTTGCTAAACTATAAGGTAATGTGATTGACATATGCCAGTAAATCTTTTTGTTTCATAGTCACTCCATGTATTATTATTTATTTCATATTTTTTGTTCTGTAGTCTTGCTGTGTTTTCTGTTTCTAGGATTGGACAAAAGCATATTCCTGTGAGCATAGCTAGTAGTTCTTTGTTGTAACTAGCACTTTCTCCTCCAGATGTTTGTCCCACACAAAGAAAATGGGCATATGCTGAAATTCCTTGAAGTAAAATTTGGACTAAATATGACTAAGTAAGTTTCAGATTATGTAAGTTTACCAAACTCTCCACCTCTTAGAAGATAAAGAGCAAAAATAATCAATGGAGGGAGTATGTACCTAATTACATACCACTTAGAAAATAAATAATTTGGGGTATTATAATATCTACAAGAAATATGACATTAATATTTTTTTCTTTTAAAAAATATCTCGTTTAGGTCTTTTGTAAATTACATATACTTAAACCTCAGTAGCGTCACAGTGTTTTGAGGCTACTTTCTCCCTTGATGAGGAATAATGATACAACCTAAGGTCAGAATAAATTAAAGATTTAAAATGAGTAAAGAACCAAGGTAATTTTAACCACTACATCAGCAAAATGCTTACATTAAAAAAGTTGTGGGCACATAAAGAGGGTGGGCAGTAAGATGTTTACTTCATAGCAAAGATTCTCATCTTGGGGTCATAATAGTGAATTGGACCAGAAGCTGACTTTTTATTATTTATTTATTTATTTATTTATTTATTTTTATTTATTTTTTTCCCCCAAAGCCCCAGTAGATAGTTGTGTGTCATAGCTGCACATCCTTCTAGTTGCTGTATGTGGGACGCGGCCTCAGCGTGGCGGGAGAAGCGGTGCCTCCGTGCGCGCCCGGGATCTGAACCCGGGCTGCCGGCAGTGGAGCGCACGCACTTAACCGCTGAGCCACGGCACCGGCCCAGAAGCTGACTTTTTAAATTAAAGAATAGTGTTGTGCCTTTTTTTTTTTTTATTTGTTTGTTAAATGCATTTTTTAAATCTGAAAGGAAATAAATTCTTTTATGTACTGATAGAGTCCACTTGCATAACAGAAAATGTATATTTTCCTACATGTTTCTCTAGTTTATATAATATACCTTAGAACTTTATTGTCATTTGCTGTGATTACATGGGACTCTAGATACTGTGCATGGAATTTCGTGTTGTGATATATCACAGTTAACAAGTAAAGTGTTTGACATGGTTTAAACACTGGAGAAATTTTCTGAAGTGTGAATCATATATGGATATCTACTAAGATAAAGGGACTTTAAGAGGCCATGTGCTCCGTAAGGGTAGGGAGCATGTCTTTTTTAGGTTTATAGACAGGCCTAACATATAGCAGGCAATTAGTAAAAATTGGTTGTAGATTGACAAGCTTTTCCACTGACTTTCCCTTTAACCTTGGAAGACTCTAGAATGAGTCTATGATTAAGGGTGGCTTTTGTCCAGTATTTCTTCAGTTGATGTTATGTAGCACCCCTTTGTTCAGCACGTCAGGTATCTGCTTCACTAGGTAATGCACTAGGTGTTTTAAGAATAAGACATGGTCCCTGTCCTTAAGAATATTGCCATATCCTTGGGGCCAGCCTGTCAGTGCAGTGGTTAAGTGCGCGCACTCTGCTGCGGAGGTCTGGCATTCGCAGGTTCAGATCCCGGGCGCGCACCAATGCACCACTTGTCAAGCCATGCTGTGGCGGTGTCCCATATAAAGTAGAGGAAGACGGGCACGGATGTTAGCCCAGGGCCAATCTTCCTCAGCAAAAAAAAAAAAAAAAAAAAGGATTGGCATCAGATGTTAGCTCAGGGCTGACCTTCCTCACACACACACAAAAAAAGCATATTGCCATCTCCTTAGATGGTTTTTATACAGTTAATGACATGGGCGGTATAAATAGTAAGTGCCTTGTGCTCAAATGTGCCAATTGGATGTTAGTTCACCAGAATTTTAGGAAAGTCTGAGGCAGACTTTCAAGAACCACTAAAGATATATTAATAAATATTTATTGAATGTGCAGGGTACTAGGCCAGGTTCTCTGGGAGATACAAAATGACTACAATCTAACACAACACAGATTGCATTAAGCACTGTAATAGAGGGATAAGTAAAGTGCTGTGGGAATATGAGGAAGGAAAGATTGAGACTGGGGAATTATGGAAAGAATACTTGTTAAATTGAGATTTAAATTGGAGCTTATAGAATTAGTAACTTTAATAGGCAGATAAAAAAAGAGGTGCATTCATCATAGGTACAAGATATTTTGATGGCAGCCTTTTGATACAAAGCTGTATTGCTGTTTGACACATTGTGAAACTTGAACCTTTTGTTCTAAACCTAGTGATTTGTGAGGCAGGCATTCCTGAGCCATCCATGAGCACTCCTGAACATCACTCCATCTCTTACCTCCTTCCTTAGGGCTAGAGCTTAAGGATAAAATGGAGGGCCGGCCCCGTGGCTTAGTGGTTAAGTGCGCGCACTCCGCTGCTGGCGGGCCGGGTTCGGATCCTGGGCGCCCACCGACGCACCGCTTCTCCGGCCA